TGGATAACACTGGTAGAGCGGATAAGAGATGCAAAATAGCTAATAAAGAGTAAAAATCTACCGTTCTATGAAGAGATTTTTCGTCTATCCCGCCGAATAATCCATCGACAAATGGATTCAGCCCCAGTCCTTACAGGAGAGAAGAAGATACAGTATTTCAAAAAAAAAAAAAACAACCTGACAATCATTACCTGGTACAGTTTTGGCCCAGTATGATACCATCCGACGATTCGTTCACGAGCGGCAACCTAACACACCGAAGTATTAATTAAAGCAAAAAAAAAAAAGCCACAAAATTTCCCCGTGATTAAACAATCACGCAGACTGATATTTTAAATCAAAGAAAAATACGTACTGAAAACTTATTAAACAAAAATTCCCTTTTTCTCTGGGGAATGGTATCAGTTTGCATGTCACGGTCACGGTAGGCATCTACACGGTATCAAGCTGTACCATAGCTGACCTTGTGAAACATGCCGTACATCGTTTCCAGATATCCCATATCAAGGAACCATGTATTCTTGTCGCGCTCATCTTCATCAAACGGAACTAAAAAAATAACTGCAACATTATCAGATCAAGTTGAATACTTCAGCTCTGGGCAAAACGATCGAGCTGTACCCCGTTTTTAAAGTGCATGCCCGAAACGACATGCTCTGCAAAAAAACCGCATTTTAGCTATTCAGAACCGTGCCTCTACGTCAATAATTCCCCCTATATGTAGCTGTTTGATGATCCAATCTTGAGGAGGTGAGAAGTACGTCAAAATGGTCAGCAGACCGACTACGACGTAGTGCGGCGCTCGTTTCAGGCAAGTTGGAAAGGCTACCTGCTGCAGAAACGAAGAACCCGACCACGAATTACAGCCGTTCCAATTAGGCTTGCACAAAATAGGGTTTTTTGGCAACCCGGTGATATGGTGCAACAATCCAATTTTTTTTAGTCCTACCATTTTTGAGCTGATTTCGATGTACTGTTGTCCAAATTTTGCACTCCACTAGCAAACTTTTGCATCTTTAAACACT